CTTTCTCAGTTAATCATGGGCTCAGACTGTAGATCTTGAAGTGCTGAGAAGCTTCCTGTCCGGGTCCCAGAGGCAGTGATGGCTTCACCAAATACAGTTCTCAGTGTTTTCAGATCTGATGGCAGAAACTGACAGATTTCTAGTGTGCCTGCACCAGCCCGAGTGCTTGGTACTCTGTCAAGTACTACGTGAGTTACGGTTATTCTCCTCACAAGCTTGTTGGAGGCTAAACCCAGCGTGGTCTCCACGGTGCCACGAGTCTGAAGGACCAGGCCCACTGACAGGAGGAAGGCAGTGAGCAGCAGCAGAGCGTCCCAGCCCTGTGCTGTCGGCGGGAGGAGAATCCTCCCAACAGCCACCTCAAGCCAGGTCTTGTCCCGAGAGGGAGTCCTTGGGCAGGGGCCTGCTCAGGTGACCTCCAAGTTCAGGGTTGACACAGGCCCCTGAGTTCTGGCTCACGGTAGGCAGGGCCGGCCCTGCGAGAGAGCTCCTGCCTTCTGAGTGTGACTTTGGGGGATTCCGCCTGGTGCCTGTTCTTGGGTTAAACACAGATGCACCCTACGTTGCCATTTCAGGGGCAGGTATTTGCTGGAGAGGCTTCTTGTCTAAGGCTTTATTTGGTGATGGCTGGTCTTTGATTCTTGGAGTCAAACAATCCTAGAATAGAATGTTTGGAAGATGTAGAAATCCAGATGGGAGTTTGCGTACAGAAGTAAACAGGGGCAGTTCAGTTCACGGTTGTAGAAACCTAATGGAAGTTTCCAAAGCAGATCACCAGACTGCTGTCTTGTGCCCCTCTTTATCATTCTCGGGATCTTTTCCCTTCGGGGCCACAGGTATCTGGACTTAGTCATTGCTTAGCTGCTGCCTTGTCCATCTGTCAGCTGAGGTGCGCCTGCTTGTATAAACAGGCACTTAATTCTTGAGGTACTGTCCCAAAAGTCACTATTGAGTGACCTAAAGATTCTTCCCTGCTCAACCAAGAGCCCTGGGGAAGAGCCTGTGTTTCTGTCATTGGATGAACCCTGGGTGTACAGAAAGGGGACAGAGCCACTGCCTCAGCGAGGGACCATGAACGGGACCAGGTCAGGTATGACACATGTGGTGAGCACAGAAAGACAGCCAGGAGTGACAAGCAAAAACTTCACCGAGAAGAGGACATTTGGGTTGGAGTTGAAGAATGACCGGGAAGAACAGCAGTGACAGGGCTCAGGCAGGGAGAGGACTGTTCAGGCTGAGGAAACCGGGTGAGCACAGCCCTGAGGAAAGAAGAGCCCGATGGGGACGGTGTGAGCGGGGGCACCTCCTTCTAGGAAGTCGGGAGCCATGGGAGCTCCTCGGTGACCCTTCCTCCTTCCTTTGCCCCCATTTTCCTCCTGTGATAGGCAAGAGCCTTCTTCATACGGGCTTCCAGCTTGCTTCTCTTTCGAAAGATTATCTTGAGAATGAGGAACTTTTAACAGGCTTGCTTCCCAGCTAAACCTTCAGAAAGATGTGATGGATTGATATGCAAATACTAGAATTTAGTACTCCAGGGCCTTGTCTGGCATAGGTTCTGCCTGGCCTCCTACTTACATGTGTAAGTTTAAGTTCTTCCTTCCTATATGGGGCATAAGAAAATTTTTCTTGTGAGCTTGCACAACATGGTGTGAGCTGGGAGCACTTGGCTGTGATATGTAGTATAACCACCTCAGCATTCCAGATATGTCCTGCAGACCTTCACCCCGCCTTATCGTGCACCCCTAACATTAGCAATCCCTGGGTAAACTGGGAGGTTTGCTCTTTAGCCTAGTAAGAGTGGTCTGGGGTCCACAGTTCCTGCAGGTGGATGACGTCACGGAGCCCCCTAGCTCGACAAGGAGGAAAGGGAGACTGGGGGTGAGGTCTGATCTCATGGGTTCCTGGTCCCACAGCTTGTTACACGCCCACGGGTGTTTGAATCCATGGGTTTGACTTTCAGTCCTGGGTTAACCCCATTATCCCACGGTTAACTCCCAACTGTGCTGTGAGCAAACACGAGTTTCTGTAAAATGTCAAAACAGACCCTCAGTTCTGAGATCTCCCATGCACCCTAACATGCACTAACCAAGTAAGGAAAGCACACTTGTGACCTTCCAGAGTCCTAGCAGTAGGAAAGGAAGGCACCCTGCTAGCAGTGAAGAGTTAGGATGATGGATAAAATAGCATGCCTGACCCTTGGAGGGGGTGGGAGCCTGGCTCAAGGGGCAGCTGGGTAGCCAGCCAGTGGGCTCGTGTGCGCACACACTCATGCCTGCATCCACTCAGGACTGCGGCGCATAACCTGACGAAAGCCGAACCAGGACGTGAAGCCGAGCGGAGTAGTGGATGCTGGGGTGCAGGCAGGGAGAGCGGCAGCAGGAGGGAACGTGGGGCAGAACAGACGCCGGGGAGTTCCCAGGACCACTCGATTTCTTTTTTTGCCCCTAGACAAGAGGGAGAACACTTACTGGAAGAGGCCCATGACTTTCCCGGTCTCATACTATCCCCACAAGAAATACTCCCCTCCTCCCACAGGAAGGCCACTCTCAGTTGAGGCACTAACTTTTGGGCACCAAGGACCACCCTCATCCTGCACACAAAGCAGTAGGATGCTGCAGTGAGGGCCTGGGGATGAGTTGGCAGAGGGGGAGCCGGGGGGACATTCTGAGGCCAAAATCCAATGTGGTTAAGTCATGAAGGAGTGGGGGGGGGCCCCCAAGGACAGCATAGTGTGGGCAGAGGGGAGGATATTGGGCCTTGGCACATCAGCAGGGGGGGTGGTCCTGGGCATGGGGAGAGCTAACCGTTACTAAATATGCCTCTGGACACCGAGCCGGTAAGGGACAGCACTAGATTTGAACTAGGGTCTTCAGTGTGATGTTCCTTTCGACTGTTGTCACAGAAAAGGTTACTTTTTAAAACCTTTTCACTTCTCGAATATATTTCAAAGAGCTCTCCCACCAAGAAATAATAATTGCAGCTCACAATAGGTATTATGAACCGAACAATATTCTAGGCACCTTACCTTCTTGAATTCCTTGACTCCTCAGTGAAACTCATTGAAAACTGTTAGATGGGTGCTCCATCTAATAGATGGGTCCGTGCACGGGCTCGTGGGAGTGGGGACGCCCTGGCCCGTGCGGGACGCTGCGGGGCCTCCCCACCAGTACCTAGCTCCAGCTGAAACCTCTCCGCCTGTCCTGCAGGAGGGCCACCCGGAGGAGCCCGAGGCTGAGGAGCAAGTCCACGACCGGCAGCCCCAGCAGCCGGAAGAGTACTGAAGCGTCCTGGCCGCTCGCGCCGTCAGCTGTGCGTGGGAACTTTTCTTCTGGAGAGACGTGGCCTCAAGCTCAGCCGAAACCAGTCGTTCCCAGTCTGCCGTTAACATCAACACACTGTTGCATCCGCCAGCCACCGCGCTCAGTTCCCATTTCCTTTGCCAAGACCCATTAGCAGCCGGCCGTCGGGCGGCCTACCTGAGAGATCACAGGGTCACGTCCCTTCTACTTCACCACTTGGCTGCTTGAGATTGATTCTGCTCTTTTCATTTCTTTCCAGAACAACTCCCCCCTTCCCGACACCACCCCCCCCTTTTTATCCTGGTGTGAAACAATGGTAATTTGATATATGGTATTTATATTGGCATTTCTCAACCAGTGTCACTAGATGTCACACATTCGTGGTGCTTTGATGTTTTCAAGTCTAACCTCTGAAGGTAAATTTGGTCAAATAAATTGGAACAAAGGGAAAGAGATACTTGATATGAAAGCCATAAGGACAGTGACTTGTTTTATAGGGAAAAAAAAAAAAATGGAATCAAAACTAGGACTTCAGGGCCCAGCAGTATTTCTCCCTGAGCATGGTAGACAGCTACAGTTAGTTTCGAAAGACATTCAGTCAAGGACACCATCTCCACTTCGCCCTTCGACTGCTTGTCCCTCCCCTCCCACACCCAGGTTCTCATGCTCTTTTCTTTCTCAGGGTCCTCTTTGGTGGGCAGCCACAATCCCCAAAAGCTGTCATCCATTACCTACAGTCCAGAGGGGGTCTGCATCGGTGCAGGTCCTCCCGCCTCTCTCTGGCTTTCAGCCCAAAGCCTGTCCTCCGCACTAGGGGACTCCTCCTCCAGAATGACTTCGGGGTGTGCGGCCCTGAGGGGCAGGGCTCTGCGTCACGCTGCACGCTCGCTGGAAGTGAAGACCTTCTTACTAGGAGCATCATTCCAAGGGAGACTCCTGATTCTGAAGTCTGGTGTTGACGCTGGAATGACAGCACAGAAAAAAATCCCTGACTCCCCGTACCTTCTGGAATAAGGAATTTCCCCCTCGTTAATACTACGGCCCTCCTTGTCATTGACCTTCGATAACCGTGGCAATTCATAAATAGAGGAAACATTAATGAATTAAAAGCATTCCTTATTTTTTTTAACTAATATTTGCACATTTTCTTAGTATCTTTCCAAATCTTTGCCTCTTTTATTCCTTTGACAGATGGTATCCCTTCCTGGATCATTCATTTCACTTGGTTACCTAACTTAGCAGGTGCAGCAACAACAACCAACAAGTGTGCCCACCCCACTTGCCTCTTAACTGAAAAGCTTCAAATAAATTTCTGAAATATGTGTCCTAAAGCTTTGACATTTCTTTATTAATTGATGAAATACTAATTCTCAATTCTAGCATCGGAGCTTTCCACCAAAAGAAGTCTTCTCAAAATCTTTTGCAGCAAAGTGGCATTTGAGTTACAGGTGAACAAGATGGCTTGTATTTTTGAGGTTATTCCAACACGCTGTGCGTAACTGGACAGACATTCTGTGGTGTTCGGTTTCCCTTTCTTCTCTCTCGCGCCTGCTCTGCACGGCGGCGACCCCTCTCTCTCTGGCTCCCGGCAGTGACATCCTCCCGCACTTGCGCACGGATAGTGGTTGTGCGATGCTCGGCCTCGTGCTCAGCGGTGGGCTCCCTCCCAGCCGTCGGTACGGACCTTCCTTTTGGAAAAATAGCTCTTGTAAAGAGGCACAATGAATAATTCCACGCGGATGATCCGTGGGGGGTTCCTCGGCAGGGCCCGCTCAGGAACACCCAGGGCCAGGTGGAGGGCAGCCTGGGGGGGTGGGGGCGATGGCGGCGCAAGTTGCCTAAGCCTCACCGGCACCAGCCGCTCTGTCTCGCCCCCAAAGCCCCAGCCTTGTCAGCTATGAAAACCTGTTGCCCCGGTGGTCATGCCTGATTCTCCATCCCCGAGTCTTAGCGCCAGCTATTCACGGATTTAGCGAAGAGCTCCATGTTCCTCCTTCTGTCCGCATCTGACCCCTCTTCCGTCGTGCCGGGTCACATGTGACATCACCGATGCTTTGGGGAATCTTGAACAGCTAGGGTTCTCCGTCATCTTCGGCTGCACCCCAGCTTCGGTGCAGACCACCTGCTTTCCCGGGGCTGCTCCTTTCTCCCCGAGGGCTGTACCCTGTCGTCCTCCCATCTGGGCGGAGCAGCGTCCTGTTGTGGGCTCACCCGCCCTCTAAAGCCAGACTTCATTGTTAGCCCCGCGGCCGTGGCTGGTGACAGCACTTCCCCTGCTCGGGTCAGACAGGAAGTGATTGAAGCAGGGCGCACAGAGAGGGCCCGTCTTCTTTCTAAGCAGAAAAGCATAAAAAGGAAAGACAATGACAAACAGCTTGTTGAGCAGAGAGAAGTAAACTCCAGAAGGGAACCAAGAACTCCTCCCTTCCCTGGTGAGTATTTCCATTATTCTGTTAAGGTTTGATATGCATTCAGATTACTTTTACTAAATAGTACACCATAAAGCTTTTGTTATATATTCAATGTAAACTGAAAGGAATGTAAACATATGTATTGTTAATTATAAATAGAGATAAGTAATGACATCATAGATGAAAAAGTCTTATTCAGATGTATCACATTCATTTTACATTACCCTATTGTCGCATGGTAGAATAGTTCTTTTGTCTCTGAATATGTGAATAACTTGACTTGCGTTTATCTTTTTACATATTTAATAAAAAAAAGTATATGTTAAAAGGACTGGATTTACAGATTCTTACATTTTTATGCTAAGGTTTCCTTCCGAGTGAGCATGTGTGTGTGAATAGGCTATTTATGTGGAATCCCGCATCTACCCACATTTTATTATGATTGACAAGGGGGGGGTCAATGGATGGCAAATGTTTTAACAGGAATTAAAGATTAGTATCTGATATCAAATGTAGCAGCTGTGATACCTTTTTAAAAACTTTACCCAAAAAAAGGTAAGCCATTCCCTTAGGAAAGACTGCACTTGCAGGCACGCAGAAGCCTCGCTCCTGCAGCTCCAGCCTGCTCCGTCTGGACCAGACAGGGCTGGGCAGATAGGAAACTGGGGGAGCAGCAAGCAGATGTTTCCAGGCTTCATGGCAAAATGACCTAGGATGAGCAAAAGCTCTCGGGTTCAGTGCATTCTCCCCCTCTAGTTTGACGGGGACTTGGACCAACAGTGATGATTTCTACACACCAGTAGAATACCAACTCATAGGCACAGGAATAGGTGAAAAAAAGAAATGCCTTAGAAGCAGCGAGGCTGGAGAACGGGACGGCAGCGTGTGGGAGACTTGGCCCAGGAGATGGCAGGTCATGGAGGCTCAACCCATGGGCTCCCCACCCTGCGGGATGCAAGCCTGCCCTAAACTGCTTTCAAGCACCACCCAGAGGCCAGTTTGGTTCCTGTGCTCTCCTTTGGCGATTATTTCCCATCCATTTGCCTTTAGGCCCTTTTAAGCAGAGAAGTGGGAAAAGCACCGAAGACAAAGATACTACCGCTTCTCCATCTACACTCGTGTCTGCACCGGGTAAGTGTGTGACAGAAGGCTGAGCTGTTACCGGGGTTGGGAAAGTTCATGCTTAAAACACATGAGTTTCCATTTCGTTCTGCCAGCCCTGGGATTTTAAACACTAGCCCTCCCACTTAGACATCTGCACACAAATCGTCCAGAATACACGTGCTCCATCTTCCCTGAAAGACACACTGGTGGACTCTAGGAAGCACATCCCTAGTGGTACAAAAGGGGGGAGGATAACAGGTTTGCTTCACGTATTAAATCTGAGACCATCTCTCAAAACTGAACATGTTCCTACTGGGACTATGGGACTACGGGTAGGCCCATGGTGGGTGGGGGGGGCACAAAGGGGTTCATGTAATTCCACTAAATTCAAGTTATACAATGCCAGTTCTCTAAAATGAAGCCAGCAGCTTCATTTCTGGCCTTTCTTAGTCTTCCTCTCCCCGCTAGACACAGCTCCTGTGATCCTTCCAGCCCCTGTCACTCGCACACATCACTGACCCGCCCTTTCGGCCCTAACGCCCTGTTGCCAGACCGCGCAAGTGTGACAGCAGGGCCGCTCCGGTTCCGGAGAGCTGGGAACTCAGACGTGCACCACTCACTGGAAGAGTTCTGGCTTTGTTGCCTAATGGAAGGCAAACCTTAAAATCCCTTGAGCCCTGGAGGAGCCCTCACATGGCACCGGGACTTCAGATCACAGGACTGCCCGAGGGCAGGACCCCCCGTCCCCAGCCCCCACACCATGTACAGGTAGGGCTCACACAGAAGGTGTGTTCGCTGAGGTGTCCCACCTCCCGCGTTGCCATGAGGATTGTGGAAGGCCCAGCCGAAGCTTATTTGTTGAATGCATTTTTCTTTTTCACTGCAAATGTTGACTCTTTTTAGCTTGTCAAGCTTAACTTCTTAAACCGGTTGCCTGTGGTATTTTGTAACCATTTTCTTAAGACTGAGTTTATTATAAATGAAGTGTTTTTAAAGGGTAATAGCATCTCAACGTACCTCTGAATTTAGGATACTCAGTAGTAACTAGCCCAGTACCTAAATGGGTTCTTTTTCAAGAAAAAAGTACGTATTTCCTTCTATGTAGCAAACGTCCCTCATTTTCACATTATACTATCTCCCTAGGTCTTGAAGGTTATCTGTATAATTTTTTAGGTGTGTTTATCTTACTAAAATGTTTTGGTTAAATCTGACTGCTCTCACACATTAATTTCTAACCTTTAGATTTTAGAGAAGTAACAAAGAGTTCCCATAAATGCACTCACAATTTTTATCTGATCTAAATTCACAGCCTACCACTAGGACACTCTCTTCTAGTCTGACATATTTATGATACAGATGAAATGTGACCTTCTCCCAGGGAAACCATTTTTTTTTTTTTTACCAGCTTCAAAGTTTTTCCAGAGAGAGAGAGACTATAGAAAATCACCTTAAATGTCAGTCTCTCAG